ATCTTAGAGATCACCTATTGGATCAGTTGGACAGTATAATCAACATTGTGGAGATAATTATCAAACCACACCTCTCTCCACTGTGTTTCATGAGTGACACTCCTGTTCCCAGGGAAAGTTATTCTTGGTCTTTTATATTTTAAATACTACTGAAAATAGTGTGTGGCTCTAATGAGCTGTGTAACCGGAGAGACGGACTGCCCAATGTCCTCATGTAGAGTACAGCAAGCTCTCTGTGCTGCTCTGGAGGTAGAAGGCAATGTGAAGTAGACCCAGGCCTAGGAAAAGCAACAGAATCCCACTTTTCTTCATGTTAATTTTAACATTTGTATTAAGTTGTAGGATGTTCAAATATTTGCTCATGCCCTATGATTTTTTTAAGACTTCTAATCCTTGTAAGTCAGCATCCTATGTCACTTGGGAGCTCTAAGGCTTATTTAATTTTCTCACCTGGAATGGGCCTGAGATCACCAGGTCTTTCATATCCCTGCTCTTCTGGGTTAGAGATACGGTTCAGCAATGCAGAGTGCTTGCAGAGAAACTGGGTTCAGCTCCCAGCCATAGATGACTCGCGGTCCAGAGGATCCTCACAACTTGGTTTACCCAAGTTCCAAGGGATCAGCACCTTCTTCAGCCTCTGAGCACCAGGCATGTACACAGTTCATTTACATAGGGACAGGCAAAACATTTATGAACATGAAATAAAAATAAGTAAAATTTTTTCAATGATTCATTGTCTTTTTTTAGGTATGACATTCTAAAATGTTTCATGTGAGCTCTTAGATAGTAAGACGCAAATCACACTATCAGAAGGATGTTGGCTTTAGTTTTGTTATTGTTTTTTTAATCGCAACTTTATTTTTAGACTTAATTTTACTAGAAAATATTTTGTGAAGATCTGTTTGGTGAATAATCTAAGACTAAGAGATCTAAAATTGTTACAACAAATGCATTAATCTACTTCAATGTCAACCAGTTATTTTACTTCCAAGAGACAGAAATGTTAGAGAAAGATCCCATCTCACGTTCTAGGCCAAAGCAAGACTACATAGTAAGAACCTGTCTTAAATTACAAAAAAGAAAAGAGAAGAAAAGAAGTATCTCTTATTCATTTCAAAGTGCTGGCCTTTCAAGTGGGAACTTGGAAAAACAGCCATTAGAGGAATGGAATTGTAGCTCCCAGCACCCTCGTGACACTCACACTGAGAAAAGCCATCCACTTAGGTTGCTCAGCCGCCTATACACATTTACTGTTAGCACACTATCAAAGCTCGGTTGAGATGTAAGAGTGCGGCCATGACTATGTAAGTGTGGTGATTCCTGCTCATTTTTCTGGTTGGCTTCAGACTTCTCTTTCATATCCAGGTAGTCTTCAGCTTTTGTTCTTTCTCCTGTAAGACTTAAGCATTTGCCGTTCTCTCTGGTTCTAGTCCCCTTCCCAGTTCTAGGGTCTCATAATGTGTGCATGATTCACTGAGACAGTTTCCTGCCCTGACTGCTAAAGCTTTCAGTTCATCACTCTTGGTGATGTGGCCCCGAGTCACCCACACTGGAGTAGCCTGAGCCTTAGGTTCATCGTTACCAACACTGTTGCTTTGGAGCTGGGGATGGCTCCACAGAAGGAGCAGCAACTGCTCTTGCAGATACCCGTGGTGGCCATAACCACTTGTTGAGTTCCAGGGATCCAATGCTCTTTCTGGACTCTGCAAATACCATATATGGTGCACATGCATACATTCAGACAAAACACCTGTAAGTACATATTAAAAAATTCTTTTTTGTTTTATGTGTGAGGGTGCCAGGTCCCCTGGAACTGGAGTTGCAAACAGTTGTGTGCTGCTGTGTGGGTGCTGGGAATTAAATAGTGCTCTTAATGCTGAGTCATCTCTCCAGCCCCTAAAAATATTCTTTGATGGCTTTCTTCTGGACTGGAGAGATGACTTAGTGGGGGCAGGAACTGAGGAACCCAGTTGAAGGGTGGTTGAAAGGAACAGGGTTCCTCAAAGTTGTTTCCAATTACCACACACTGACACATTTATAAGTAATAAAAATTTAAAAGTTTAAAAATTCTCTATATTTTCTCTTAGAGAAGCAATTCTAGATCACCTGTTCCAAATAACACATAGAGACTCTAACTTTTAAAAAAGTAATATATTGCAATGTTACAGTATAGTTTCACTTATCTCATATTTCTGTTTTTATTTTACCAAATTTGTTCAGTTTTCTTAAATAAAATGTAAAAGAATATAAATTAGTAACCCTTCAAAAAGAAGTATAAAATAATAAATATAATCTTTGATCATCTTCATAATGCTTCTTTTTATATGTGTCTTTTAAATCTTCATCATGGAACATTATTTCTAGGAAACATTTTTTTTGTGTGTGTGTTAAACCCTAATAAAAATTAAATAGCCAGACGTGGAGGCAGGGGCAGGCAGACCTCTGTGAGTTCAAGGCCAGTCTGGTCTACATTGCAAGTTTCAGAACAACAGGGGCTAACCTAGAGAAATCTTATCTCAAAAAAGCAAAAAGAAAAAAGAAAAATTTTCTCCTAATGCTGGGGAACCAAGCCAGGTTTTCAAATTTACTTTTTATCATAAAATTTCTGACTCAGAAGAGTTAGTCAAGTATTATTAATTATGTTAGTTAGAGCTAGACCATATGTCCCTACCTGCAAATAATTTGGCTACTCAAGGGATTAAAGCTGTAGTATAAGCCTGACATTTCCTAAGCATTTTATTCTTGTCTTCTGAAATCAAAGAGTTAGGTGACATTACGTCTAATCCAATATATGCAAGTCCCTTCTACAAGTGCTAGTTTTCTAAATGCCAGGGACACAAATGTAGATTATAAAGTCACTACTGTCTGGTAAGTTTCTAGCACCAGCAAGAAATTTTCCTATGTGAATATAGAAGTACTATATAAAAATCACATTTAATATGAAAAGGTACTCGTACAAGACCCTCAATAGTGGCATGAAGCATTGTGCTGGTTTGTTTACATACTCCTGTGTGCTCCTGTCACTCAGTCACAAATGTCACTTTTTTTTTTAATCAGCGTGTCGTGTGTGATATGTGCTGATTTGGTGTCTAAAATCATAAAAAAAGGGAAAAACTAATAAAACTTTCCTTGACAGTGAGCACAGTGTGCTCCATCCTGTCTGTGCTGACAGTTTTCTTCTGAAGTCATATGTGCCCCAAAATGTACTCAGTGCAACTGTTGATTCTATTGACTATCTTTTTTTTTATTAAAAATTTCTGCCTCCTCCCCACCTCCCTTTTCCCCCCTCCCCCACCCCCCTTCCCTTCCCTCTCCAGTCCAAAGAGCAGTCAGGGTTCCCTGCCCTGTGGGAAGTCCAAGGTCCTCCCCTCCTCCATCCAGGTCTAGGAAGGTACGCATCCAAACAGGTTAGGCTCCCACAAAGCCAGTACATGCAGTAGGATCAAAACTCAGTGCCATTGTTCTTGTCTTCTCAGTCTGCCCTCATCGTCTGCCATGTTCAGAGAGTCCGGTTTGATCCCATGCTTTTTCATTCCCAGTCCAGCTGGCCTTTTCTCTTTAGAGAAAGCAATTTTTTTTAAAATCAATATAAAAGTTATTTTAGCATACAAATCACTGACAAGCTAGTATTAGATTTTTAATGTTAGCAAGCAGATGTGGAATACATGCACTAGTTTTTTTTCCAAGACAGGGTTTCCCAGTAGCTATGGAGCCAGTCCGAAATTCACTCTGTGGACCAGGCTGGCCTTGAACTCACAGAGATCAGCTTGCATCTTTCTAACAAGTACTGGGATTAAAAGCTTATGCCACCACCACTGCATGCACTAATTTTTTAATCACAAGTTTGGCTTGATACAGTTCTAAAAGTTGTGATCAGTCACTCATTAGCTTATATATACTTATATATCAAAAGCTGTAAGAACATCTTAACCTAAAAGTGTGACAGTTCTTTTCAAATTGAATCATAGTTTTCTTCCTTGCTTTCTCGATACCTCTAAAACCCACTGCCGGAGGACTTAGAAGTGTTATGAAGATCAAATTGTGTGAATACAGAGTGCCTGAGCACGATAGGGTTTCTACTATGGGTTCTTCGCTACCTTCTGTGCGTTAGCAAGCAGATTTGTAATTCACAGCTCTCATCTTTGCATTCACAAGGCTGCTTTTTTTCTTGTGCTTTCAAATGTCATTGTTTGTTACAATTTCCAGATGTTAAATTTTCTCAGTAGTTTTTTTTTTTAGATCAATTGCCAAATAAGGCTGATGAATTCAGATTGATAACACCTTTTAAAGTCTACATAATTTTCCTGTATTGTTGGTTAAGCTTGTCATAATTTATTTGTTGAAGAGGCCAAATCATTTCTTGATTTTCTTCTGACTGAGTTTTGCATGTATTTTAAAGAGATGTGTCTTGTTCAGTCTTGCTTTTAAAAGTTATGGAATAAATGTTGGCTTTTGATCAAGTCCAGGATTACCTTGGGGCAGGTATAAGATCAGAGGTGATGTGAGCCTCCATTAGGAAGCTGGTGTTGGTCTGCTTGTCTCATTTCTGATGAAATGCAACCCATTCACAGGCAGCTCTACTTGATTAGCTATAATATGCATTTCAGAAAGAGGTTTATCTGGTATCTAATGTGACCTAATGTTTTTGGTGAACTCTCAACACTCAGGAACAACCCCTAGGGTTCCCACACAGCTGGTCCTTTCACATGTCTGCCACCGTTGTCACGGTTGTATTCGGGAGTGATGATTATGTTAGATCTCTCTGTATGCGTATAGACAGATACAGAACTGTCTGTGTACTTAAGGAAGAAATAATTTGACTAAGAATATTAAAGATTTACCATAGAAAAATTACTAAATTTAATTTTTAAAAGTTAAATTTTATACCAGCTTTATAAATTTAAAAAAAGCCTCTGGCTTTAACTAGAATTTTCTGTTATGTTGACCCCTTATTTTTAATGTATTTGTAACATTTATTTCTGCAATTTATTAATTAACAGGGAATGCAGTGGTGTCTTTTGAAAGAAGAGGATGTCATTCCTCGTATCAGGGCAATGGAAGGCCGAAGAGGAAGACCACCCAACCCCGATAGACCAAGAGCAAGAGAGGAGTCGAGGATGAAACGCCGGAAGGGTCGCCCTCCCAATGTTGGCAGTGCAGAGTTCTTAGATAGCACAGACGCGAAATTACTAAGGAAACTGCAGGCTCAAGGTGAGAAAGAAGCACCTGTCACTAGAAATCGCACGGAAACCTAACAGTCATCCTTCTTATACTTTTGACTTGGAAGTGGTTGACAGTGCTCTTACATAAGGAGCTCTGTGAATCTGTAGCCGTTCCCCAATAGTTGTCTGTGTGCTACCATTAAAGAGGCTTGCACAGAATTGGAGCAGCTAGCTCTTAACACGTGCCCTAAAGTTGTCCCAACATGGGATTCTCCTTTTTATAGCTCCCAAGTTTTTGAAGTGTACCTGAGAATAACTTCAGAATTTGTGCACCTGTAGGTAAATTTTCAGCCAGAGAACTCCACTTACTTACTGGTAACTAACCCAAGTGCTTCAGTTTGCAGTCTCCTGAAGTCTGGGTATGCAATTCCAGGTGTGTTTTAGAAGGTGTGTCAAGGGCACCAGAAAGCAGATTTATTAAGATCACAGTACTCATATTCATTCAAAATGTACTTATTATTGAGAATTTCCTATTTACCTTTATTAATTTACTAAGAATAGGCTACATTTGTGTCCCCATACCTTGTGGAGGTCACAGGACAAATTGCAGGTAATGGTTCCTTCCTTTCACCATGAGGTTTCTTGGGGTCCAATTCAGGTCGCCAGCTTGGTGGTAACAGTCCTCATGCACTGAGCATCTCCCTTACCACAGCATTCAGTATTTAACAATAAATGCTTACTATGTTTGGGCTAGCAAGATAACTCAATGGGTAAAGTTACTTCCTGCCCATGCCTTGTGATCTGAATTTTGTCCCCGGGACCCCCACATCAAGGTGGGAGGTATAAAATGGTTCCATCAACATGTCCTCTGACCGCTACATACCTGCCATGGCCCTTGCACAGTAATATATATGTAAATAGTAGTAGTTTTACATTTACAAGTATATGAATTTATTGTGTACTCCTGTTGTAGAGATTAAGCAACAGCGAAGAGTTTAAAATCTGACACTGTTCGGATATAATAGTGGCTCTACGTGTGTGTAAATAAAACCTGTGTGCTAATTGACCCACCTATACCTCAAGTTGTGTGCAGCAGAAAGTAGCAGCTGACACTGGGTGTCACAGAGCTGGAGATGTGGTAACAGTGCTTTCTCCATTGACTCTTAAGAAGGCTGCTGACAGCTGCCTGGCACCTTCAAATCTAGTCCTGCTGCAAAGAAAGGACGTGTGTCTACAAGGTCACACTAATTCTATGTGCTAGGAGTTTATTTGAGACTAAATACTTATCTTTGAAATTAAGGCAGACATTTTTTAAAAGAAAATTTAGCATCTACTTTTTTGGCAAATTATTTGTTTTCCTTATGACATTTTTAGGATTTATGAAATCCATGCTTGTATTAGAGCAAGAATTTAGCTTAAGTAACTTTTTAGGAAATTGTTTTCTCAATCGCATTGGCTTTTCTACTTAAGACAGAATTGCTATGGTGGAAATTAGTGATCATCATTTCGTAGACTACATGGCTAACTTAGGAACTCTGAGCATTCAAATGCTGCCTCAAGGGTTTTCCTCATCGTGAGATGGAAATGGACTTCTGCTTCCGCTGCACTGCACTTCTGTGCACCTTAGACATTTTATTTATATGCTCTGTGTAATATTATTTGTTATAAAATAGCTATAAATATTAAATAAAATCATATAAATTTTTTGCTTTAGCCACATTCAATAAAAGGTAGAAATACATAATCATTGTCAGTTAATATAGTTTATATAACATCTTTTTCAGCTACAAAATTTAGAACTGTTGTTCTGTGTTGTAAAGTAGAACTTTCTAAAATATGTTTCAGGTAATATGCTCCGTCCCTTTCAGAGTTAATAGCATGCAGATTACATTTGCCATTGAGGAGAATAATAACATTGTATCGTTTCTTTATCCATTGCCCGTGTCTACACTAACAACCAACCACTAAATCTCAACAACTCGGGGCACTAAGAGCGAATCATTTTTCCAGATGGAATCAGTGGGAGCAGCTTTATCAGTCTTGGCTGGGATTGTTCACATGTGTGGGCTCAGTTGTCTCCATGTATTCAATATCCAGCAGCCAATCTAAAACATGTCCTTGGTTGGCAATAGAGAACATGTCTTCCCTTGAACGCCCTCTGTCGATTCAGCTAACATCCTTTTGACTATGGGACACCACTGGCCGAATTCAGAATCTAGGGGCAGAGTTTATTCCATCTCCTAATGAGAGGGACTCCAAAGTGTTTTTGCCCCGAATGCTTCCATCTGTCATTTAAAGTTACAAGACCTTCATTCATTGAAATGTTTTTAATAATATTCGTGTACGTGCATAATAATGTGCATATGAATGAAATACATATGTGCCATGTTGCACATGTGGCGATCAGAGAACAATTTTCAAGATTAGTTTTGTTTTCTCCCCAGCAGGGGTTCTGGGAATGAGACTCAGTCGGCAGACTTCCACAGCCATGTGCTCGTTAAGATGTCTGTCTGGCCAGTAGTCTCTCCTTTTTATTTTAAGAGTTTTAGTTCTTCTGTCGTGTAAATGAAAGTATCACTAGATTCAAGGATTTAATCACTGGCACACTAAGTGAAATACAAGTTTGGCTAGAGGTCTTTGCCTTTACAGGTATGTGAAAATGTGTGTGTTTACGTGTGTGTGTGTGTGTGTGTGTGTGTGTATTAAGATTGAAGCTAGCTGATATTCTTACATCTCAGCAGGTCCTTAACTCAAAAGAAGGATGACGAGGATCACATTTATACAGTTATTCTTTTCTTCAGAGTTGATTAAATAATTTGACAGTTCTTTTCTAACTTTTGGGGGCTTTAAACTTCATGATTGCTTTGTCTCAACTGCTCCATTGCCGGAGCTACCACAGTCTCCTAATCTGGCCATTTGTAGGAGGAATGAACATGTCATTCTCTACCAAACTGCTTTCCTGCCTGGTCTGTATCTCCCTAGGCAGTGTTCTGAAGTGCGCATCGTTCGTGGTGACACAGCACAGTTCCACATTACTCTTCGAGTTTATCAGCTATATAATGTTGTTAATTATACCCTGTGAAATTTGTGTTTTTCAGAAATAGCCAGACAAGCAGCACAAATTAAGCTTCTGAGAAAACTTCAAAAGCAAGAACAGGCACGGGTTGCCAAAGAAGCCAAAAAACAGCAGGGTAGGAGACTTACATGCATCGAAAGGTGGGATATGGGAATTCCTAGTCTGCCTTCCAATCCTGAGTTTCTGTGATGACAGACGTGCTTTGGTTTCTCTTAACAGCAATAATGGCTGCTGAAGAGAAGCGGAAGCAGAAAGAACAGATGAAGATTCTGAAGCAGCAGGTATGTCCATGTGCTGCAGCGGACTTCTAGTCCGCCTTCCCGTGCATCTGCGTCTGTGCGCACACGGTTCCCGCCTGGATGCCTGCACAGCCACTGTTATATGGAATGCCTCTGTCTGTTTAGAAAGTTGCCATCCTAAAATTTTTACTCCTTTTAATTTTTTTTAATATTTCAAGAGATATTTATTCTTGTTGTTTTATATGAATGAGTGTTTGCCTCCATGTATGTATTTGTACTACATCTATGTCTGGTACCCATGGAGGCCAGAAGAAAGCGTTGTATCCTCCAGAACTTTGTTACAGATGGCTAAGAGCTACCAAGTACGTGCTGGGAACAAATTGAAGTCCTCGCCAGTATTCTTCACTATGGAGTCATCTTTCCAGACGTGGCTTTTTCTTTTCTTTTCTTTTTTTTTTTAAATGTGGGTTCTGATATTGGAACTGAGGTTCTCGTATTTGTAAGATAAACACTACTAACTGAATGTGTGTGTGTGTGTAAGTATGTGTGTTTTGATTTCTGCTCTCCTGAGTCCAGCTAGTTTTGTTCATATGTACATAGATGAAGGGCTGGCCTCTGGGGTCTGGGCAACATGTATGGAGGCCCTATCCCTGAAGTTAAGGCCTTGTGAGCTCTTCCTGTACCCGTGGTGGGATGATAACCTGTATGGTCTTGCAGGCAAACATTTTGAATTCATGTTTGCAACATTCCTGTCATTTCCAAAACTCTGATTTGCAGCTGTCTCCTAGCTCTCTGGCTCCTACTGTTTCCCTGAGCGCTCTTACGTGATGTCTCCGAGACTTGAGTGGAGTCAGTGTCTGACTGATGAGGGTCAGAGCTCTACAGTTTCTTTTTTCTGCAGTTAAACCAGTTGTGGTTCTCTCCATCTGAGACAAACAGAAACTTATTTATGAGGGTGTGAGCTGCACTTAACTTATTAAAGATGAGTCTTTTGAAGACGTTTACATAGCATATCAAAGTGAGGCATGAGCAGAATGACAAGGGGTGTGCAGGGCTGCAGCAGTGGAACTAATATCTGTCTGATTGGACTTGTACCCATTTGCCAAGAGGCAGCTCAAGTCTAGTACTACAAACCTAGCCTTGAATTCGTTAATGGAAGGATCACAGGCCCTAGAGGAAAACCTAAATGAACTTCCTTCACTTTTAAATCATGTCCTTTTTCTTAAAGTTTTTAAGAAGCAAAATTTTATATGTAATATTTATAAGTATCTTAATATTTTTGTAGACATTGAATTCAAGTTGGTACCCCGAGACTGTTTTCAGCGTTAAAATTCATGTATCAGTGGATAGAGGGTATTGCTTGAACATCCAAGTTTAGTAAGAAAATGTGGCAATTTAGTTAGTTATTTTTGGTGTTTTCAAGACTAGGTTTCTCTGTAACTTTGTATCCTGTCCTGGTACTAGCTCTGTAGAGCAGGCTGGCATCGAACTCAGCGATCCGCCTGCCTCTGCTTCCCTAGTGTTGGGATTAAAGGTCCATGCCACCACTTCCTAAGCTCATGTTGTTTTTTTATGTGTAATATGTATTGAAATTTTTCTTTGTCAATTTCATACATGCATTGTAACTAAAAGTACCCCCACTCTTTCTAATTTTCCTCCTACCCCTATTACCCAACTGTCTTCCCTGTAAGTCATTTTTCTCTCATTCATGTCTTGTTTTTATTGTGTTTTTGATTTTGTTTTGAGTTCCTTAACTAGGATCATCTGTGTGACTGTGGGTTTGGAACTATCTATTAGAACCTGGGGAATTCCTTAGTGGTTGGTTACACAGCGGACAACAATGACTGCATCTTTCCCAGAATCCACAGCAGCCAGCAGTCCAGTAGCAATGGTCCCTTCCCTGATTCACAGCTGCTTGCTGACCTGTGCTGTCTTGTGTAGGCACAATAGAGGTAGCCACAACTACTGTGAGGTCATCACTGCACTGACTGGGCCGTGTTCAGAAGCCCACACCTGCACGCTCCCAACCTTACTTCGTCCCTGCCAGGACTTTCCATATGCTTCATAAGGCCTTGACCACTGTGGGAGCTATGTGTCCCCATATACAACAAGAATCCCTTAAAGCAATTTTGCAGGATTCTGGAAGCATCATGATGACGTAGGATGAGCACAGACACTGTCATCTGAGTTGAGTGGAACTCTTGAGTTCTAAGTGTTAGCATTAGAGCAAAATATTTGCTGTGTTAGAACTCAGTATCCTCTTAATAAATGGGTACATAATATGATAGGAAATTTATAAATCTTATAAATGATATTAGTATTCATGCTAGTGATAGATATCTGTAATATATCTATTTGGCTGTTAAGGTAAAACTTAAACTGAATATATTTAACCCCAGATGACTTTTGGTCTAAGAATCTAAGAATCTCTATATCCTCACATGAGAGAAGGCTGTAATGCTTTCGCTGAGTGAAGGTCATACCCCTTTAAAAGTCTTATGATTGACAAAAACAAAAAAAAAGATTTCATCAAGAATATGTTTCCCTCAGGTCTCAACTTTTTTTGTGTGTGTGTGTGTGTGTGTTTTTTTGTTTGTTTTGTTTTGTTTTTTTGAGACCGGCCTTCTCTGTAGCTTTGGAACCTGTCCTAGAATTTCTAATATAAGTAAATAATTCAAAACTTGGTTCTTCAGTCTGTTATCTAGAAATAACATAAAAATACATACTTGGGTTTTTATTTTTGGTAAGCTTCAGCTAATATTCAGTGTCAAGAAAGGAACACCAGCAACAAAGTCATAGAATGTGATAAGTCTTCTGAATTAGATTGTTGTTTTCTCAAATATGATTGTGTTATACACCTCTGTAGAGACTCAATAATAACACAGAATGATGGAAAACCCACAGGAAAGCACAGTCAGACATATCTGGAAGCTGAAAGAGGAACACAGCGGTCTTTGATATAGATGAACTGTGTTTGCTATAGGAATTTAGAACAAATCCAAGTCAGAAATGTCAAGGTTTGTCGTTGCTGTCGTTAAGTATTCAATCCTATCCAGGCCAGTCGGAAACTTTCTGAAAGAACATTTAAAATGGAAGTTCTGACTGTGATTGTAGCATAGAAGGGTAATTTTTAAAATCAACATGTAAATTCTTACCAAAGCGTATATGATTGCTAAATTATAAAATATAACCAAATTAAAATATTTTACATGCCAGTTATCTGATGTAATTAATTTCATGGATCATAAAATCAAACGAATTCCCTCTAAAATCTTGTGGGTTTATCCTTGTGGTTGAAAGCATTGTTCACATCATGTTGTCAACATGTGAAATAAATTTTAGGATCAGAGATTATTTTTAATAATGACCTTAAAGCCTTGTAATGACTATATAGCTGCGATTTTAAAGCATTCTTTAAATTTATGACAAGTTGACAAAGGCATGCGTGTAAATCGTTTTATAGAAATAATGTTCTTCGTTCCAGTTCATTCAGTAAGTGGTAGAAATCTATCAGTTGCTATATGTATTTCTGTTTTCTGTTTTATCTGTTCTTGCAGTTTGTTGAAAATATTGTCTGGGTATATAACGTTAATCAGCTCTGCAATCTCTTTGTATGTTTAGCATTTATAGTTTACCATTATGAGAAAATGTCTAAACTCCTATGAATCTCCTTACAACAGGTAGCTGAATTTCAGATCCAGCACGGAAAGCGTTTGATAATTTAGTATTCATGTCTTAAATATTTTGACTCCAATTAAACCTTTTTACCTAAATATTTATTTTCTCAAATTTTCATAATGTCTCCCACAGGAAAAAATTAAGAGAATCCAGCAAATCAGAATGGAAAAAGAACTCCGAGCTCAGCAGATTCTTGAGGTAGAATTCTTAATTTAACATAACTAAGATAACAACTCATAAAGTGCAGGGTTTTCCGATGCTCACTTACTACTGCTTTCGTCCATTCAAGTCTATTCAGAAATGTGTAGATGGAGGCCTTTTTTGACCCTTGTTAGCGAGTTAATCCATCCTAGCCCTAAATGCCAGAAAGTGAAATAAAACAAACAGCAACCAACAAAAGAGGGAAGACTTGAGAAGCCAGTATAGTTGTCACGGAGTTCGTGGTGTTTACCCTCAGGAAAGCCCTAGGGCATCTAGTTAGACATTTTTTTTTCATTTCATCTCTTCCATGATAGAAAATGCTATCGCTAGCAGGGTTCCTAGTATACCTGCCCTCTGCAAGAGGACTAGAATCAGGTATACAGGATGTGTTAGCATCAAAATTAGAAGCTAGAAATCAGCAGGAAGAAATACTGAAAAAGTGGACTTAGCACATCCAGGACTCAAGCAAGTCCTGCCCGAGTTTGGAACTTTTATCTGAATGACATTTTCACGCGGCTTTGGTGTACAGTGTCACTGTCACATTGTGAGAAACAGTTGCCTCATCAAGACAAAGGCAAATATGTTTCATATCCTGTATCAAAAATGGTATATGTCTTGAAGTTGTTTCCTAAAAATATAGTGAAAATAAACTTTTTTGTTTTGGTATTTGTTTTGGCAACCCCAAAAGTCATCTGGGGTTAAAAATACTCAGTTTAAGTTTTACCTTAACAGCCAAATAGATATATTACAAATATCTATCACTAGCATGAAGACTAATATCATTTATAAGATTTATAAATTTCCTATCATATTTGGTTGTTTAAGAGAGGGTTTCTCTGTGTAGCCCTGACTGAGCTAGAACCAACTCTGTAGACCTCAAATTCACAGAGATCCCCCACCTGCCTCTCCCTCCCAAATTGATGGGATTAAAGGCGTGCACCACCATCCAGGGAAAATAAACTTTTGATAACTGCAGTTCTTTTTCCTCTCAGCTGTTGATAGGCTGCTTTGTGGAACACTATGCCCATAGGTCTGCAGAGACTTGGCGTTTTTGTGTTGTAGTGCTTTCTCTAGAAATGCAGACATTCCCTCACCCTGTTTAGGTTACTTTTTATAACTCCCAAATTCAGAACACTTCTTTTTGGAAACAAGCAATAACTTAGAGGTAATTAGGACCTTGCAGACGGTGAGTGACTTCAGGTGGTATAGTGTGAGGCTGGCTGTCAGAGTGCAGGCTTTGTCTTGTTAAACAATAAACGCTGAATCAAGACCCAGTATACAGAGGTAGTGAAAATCAGATTTACTAAATTTCATTTAATGTTTACAACCAAATAATGGATTTCCTTATCTAAAATATCAAGGAGAAAAGGAAGTTCCAAAAGTAGATGTGCTTGAGGTTCTTTTTATCCATCAATATTAATTCTTTCTGAATTTTTTTTTCAGTGAGTAAATTTTCTTTTAAAATCCTCAAAAATGCAAAACATGATAGTCGTTTTTCTTAAGATAAAATAATGTTATTTCAAATGTTTATCTGTTTATAGAAGAAAAGATGTTGTCTTGTGATTGTTAAGGGTGCTACAGATGTGTTTTAGCCCTGATGTTCCTTTGGAAATACTGCGAGGCGGGGATGTTTGTAACTGTCTGCATATGTGTTACATGATCGCTGTGTACCTTGTGAGGCATGTAGCTGCGAGTCTTAGCGGTGCTGTTGCATGACTTGAGACCTGTTTCGCATGCACAGGCTAAAAAGAAAAAGAAGGAAGAAGCGGCAAATGCCAAATTATTGGAGGCCGAGAAACGAACAAAGGTTAGTTTAGCCGAGAATCAAGAGTTTTTATTTTCAAAAATAAAAACTTCATTTGTGTAATACCAATCATGAAAAAATAGTTTTTCTTAAAGCTACTATTGAAAAATATGTGTGTAAATGTGTGCTTTTATTTGTATGTATATTGTTGTATGTTTTTTATTTCTTAATGTAGGTATGTGCTGTTTTGATGTATCAATGGAAGACATCAAGTTAGAAATGCAAATTATTGCATGGCATCTGGATTTAAGTTTGCTTGATAAGAATGATCACCCAAACTAGTTTATGTATCCTTTATGTTTATGCTTCAGCCCATGCCGCAAACCTGACTGCCCCTCATAACTCTCTCTTTGTTAGTGTCCAGTAAGTGTTTTAGTTTTTAGAAACAAAATGCATAATCTAGCTGTGGTGATGCATACCTGTCATGCCTGCAGTCAGGAAGCGGACTTAGGTGATGTGGATGGCAAGTCCAGTGACAAAGCAAGACCCTGTCTATAAACAAAAAGTAAATAAACGGGCAGAAACACTGTTAGCAGTCATTACATAGTAATAAGATCAGTCTGTTATATTCTGTCCCAAAATTATGGAGAAGTTTTGATTATAATTCCCTGGCATGAAGCATAGAGAGACGCTCTATTCATTCTCTTCCTTCCCTGCCTAGCTCTTCCCTTCCTCTGAATTCTGAATGGCGCAGCTGAATGAACCTGCTAGTGCTTCGGTTGCCAGCTCAGCTCTACTCTATAGAGCCGCAGCAATGCTTTGCTATTTGCTCAGTTCTGTTTGGGGCACCATATAGTTGTGCTTGGCAAAGCTCTGCTTCTAAAGCTCTACCCTAAGTATGGTTTGCAGTCTTTTCAACATATACTCCCGTACTTTGTTCTCTAGAATAAAGAGTAGTCTTAATTCTTCTATTCTCCTTTATATTTATTTACCCTCAATATTCATTTCACTGAGATTTTACCTTGCTCAACAATAATCAGTAGGTAACAGACTTATGTAATTGTTTTGCATTGTGTCCAATCCCCTTGGGGTGGACACACATGCGCCCAGGCATACACAGAGTATATTTGGGACCTTATGTTTAGAGCAAGAAAGGCTTTAGTAAGCTAGTTTTATGAGTTGAATCATAAATTATTGAGTAATTGTTAAAATATATATACAGTTTTTATATCCTATGTTTGACAATCTAGTCAGTCAGTTTAGTGAATTTGCCATTGAAGTATGCTTTTTGGTTATTTATTAAATTTTAAGTGAAATGATTACTAGGCAAACATCCTTGCTACTGATTGTGCCATGCAATTTGTGTTAGCTAGCCATTAGGTAGAGCTGTATCAATGTTAGAAAGATGGAATAGTGAACATCTTCTGTAGTCAAAGCTATTGAAGGCTGGAAATTTATCTGAAATGAAATTTTTATTATTTAATGTGCTCTAAATCTCTCCTAAAAACGGTATATCAAAAGTTTCTTATTTTTAAGGAAAAAGAACTGAGAAGACAGCAGGCTGTCCTTCTGAAGCACCAGGTCTGTATACACAAAGCACAACTGTGGAAAGTACTTTCATTTGCTTAACTATTTGGGGGGTGGGGAACTTCAAAATACTTTCTTTAAAACTTCTCGTTAATTCCTGCTGCGGTTTTCCCTTTGTCTTACAGTTTAATGCCTTGCTTTGGTATTGGTGTCTTTGGGGGGGTTAAAATTGGTTTTATGACTCTGTGATTTCTGTTTCATAATGTTGTGCCAACTCTTTCTACCAGGAGTTGGAGAGGCATAGACTAGATATGGTATGGGTATGTTTATTTTTGTACATCTAACACCGCATTGTGATTTGGTTGTGATATGGTTGTCATAGCAATGCATAAAGTGTAGCACTGGCTGCTGTCATATTACATACTGCTGCATGGCTTTACAGCACAGTGCATTGCATACATCTGCTTGTCTGTCTATGAGAAGTGTGATACGTCTCAAAGAGTTTTCATTGAATTGCATAAAACTCCTCTCTAAAAATGTGCATTACTGATGTCACAGGAAAAGTTGACTCATTACACATTTAGATACCGTTATGACCCATGTTCTCCCATCCTTGTAGATGCAAAACTGCCATTACGAACAATGGGAATTTTGAATTTGCTTGATGAGAGAATATGAAATGTATTCTGGTTTTATAGTCAAAATTTGGAAATACCCCTTTGGGGGACCAAATATATCAAAGCCAAAATAATGATTAAATAACAATGATATGCAATTTTTGCATTAAAATTAGTTACCAAATTAAGGTAGTGCTTACCTTACTTCTATAGTGGGCATTTTAGATTACTATTGTTTGCCCATGGTACAGCTTTATGCCTTTAAATGGTGCATCAAGCATCAGACATCAGTAAATAGGAATATCACATTTCATTGGTATATGTGTATGAACCATGAAGAGTTTAACTTTTAATTGGTATAAACACTTTTAAATTTTTTTCCTAATTTATTGGTGTACTATTGGATTTTAAAATAATTTTGTACTTGAAATTAACTTAATCAATTCTAAAACCACAATGTGAAAGTGATTATGGATTAATTTTTGCCTGATCTTAAATTTTAAGAACAATGTAACCTTGTAAAATTGGCTCTAGTATTTTGTGGTTTTTCTAATAGCAGATGTAAGGTAACTGACCTGTTCCAGCCAACCATTATGCTTTTTGTTCTGGCAGCTTTTGAAGGAGCATCACAGCTGACCATAAGTAAACCTTGTATGCTCTGTTTACACTGTCTCCATGCTCATTGCTTCACCTTTTTGCTGTTGATTGCTCTTGTATTTGCTTTCTAAACCTGAACTAAAACATGCACAGAATGGCCATTCTTGTCTTATATTTAGTATTTACCATGACTTGTCTATAAATGCTAAACATGCTATATTGAGTTTTTGTTGTTGTTGTTGTTTTTGTTGTTGTTGTTGTTTTTCCATTTGAAGACCCAACAGTGAACTGTGGTTGAGTTGCTCTCCTAATTTTATCTGGCCTTGCAGGAACGGGAGCGAAGGCGGCAGCACATGATGCTCATGAAAGCTATGGAAGCGCGTAAGAAGGCAGAAGTAAGTGTGTTCCTGGAGGACTATTACCTTACGATGGAAAGATTGCTTTTCCTGAAGCAGTAGCTATTGTAGTTTTTTTTCAGAGTATAGGTTTGCCGTGATTTTAATTGTGTTGATGACATTGATGAGCTAACTGTGGCTCCTTATTACTGTAACCAGGATGTAACAAAACTAACCTTATAGCATGTGTAGAGGCTCCAGGCACTTTCATTTAGATCCTAATCACACCATCCACAACTTTTGCCACCACAACTAGACATGCTGTGTGTGTTCTGAGGATCGAGCCAGGTCCTCTGGGAGAGCAGCCACTACTCTCATCTGATGAACCATCTCTCCAGCCTTAACCAAATTTGTAATTCTTTTCTGTTATTTCGATCATTTTTTTTCCTTCCCCAAACTCTTCCCAATTCGTTGTTACCCGCCCAACTTAATGCTTGCTCACAGTGTCACCTGCTCACTCGTTTGCTCTCAAAAAAATAGCTGAAATAAACAAAATGCCATTAAGACAAAAGGAAAATGCCAAAGAAATTATATAAATCTTTCCTCTCCCCATACACACATCCACAAAAGGTCAGCATTTGTTTTGTATTGGCCAACTAACTGTTCCTGGGCATTGGGCCTACCCTGAACTATAATTAATATACTCATTGTCACTCTGTCTGAGAAAACTGATTTTCCCTTCCCCAGCAGGTGTCAATTGCAAATATAGCATCTTGGTCAGGTGTGGGACTTTTGCCGACTTACTCTTTCAGTGCTGGGATTTTGTGTGGTTAGAGCCTGTGCTGGCCCTGTGCATGCTGCCATAGACTCTGAGTTCATATGTGCATCAGTCCTGGTTATATGTAGAAGACACTGTTTCCTTGGACTCATCCATCATCTCTGGTTCTTAAAATCTTTTTGCGCTGAGCGGTGGTGGCGCACGCCTTTAATCCCGGATTAAAGGCAGAGACAGGCGAATCTCTGTGAGTTCGAGGCCAGCCTGGTCTACAAGAGCTAGTTCCAGGACAGGCTCCAAAGCTACTGAGAAACCCTGTCTCGAAAACCAAGAAAAAAAAAAAAAAGAATCTTTTTGCTACTTCTTCATATGATCCATGACCCTTGGTTCTATGACAGCCTTCCACTTGGGACTCACTTCTCTGATGTTCTCATCCTCTACACGTTGTCCAGTTAATTGCAGAAGTTTCTCTGATGACCTGAGTGAGGCAGTGACCTGTGGGTATGGTGATAGGCCATTAGGAGTCATTTCATTGCTCTGTTAGTTTCCTGGGATAATAGCAGTACGTTCTCCCCTAACCCCTTAACCTTCTAGTGTCAGGTTTGTGACGACTTCAGCAGGATAAGGATTGGGTTCCCAGTCATGGACTGGGCCTTAAATCCATTTTTTTAAATGATTGGTTATTCCCATAACATTTATGCCACAATTACCAGTGTATCCTGCAGGAAAGTAGCTGTCTCAGTATTTGTTGCTGTGTGATACTGATTATTTTACTCCTTTGGTAGTTGTACTGTGCTGAGTTCCTAGGGGTGAGGCTTCTAGTTGTGCACCAGCTCAACGTCTCTGTGCTCAATGGCATTGTCGCGTCCACCCTCGACCAGCAAGGAAAAACGCAACACCCGGAGCTCTTCTTGCAGCAGTTTTCAGGACTTTATTCACAGCAATCTATCTCCTTCTCCTTATCTTTCTCTCTCTCTCTCTCCTCGGGCAAACCTCTCCCAGCCCTTAAGTAGGCATGGGCTACCAGCCCCGAACTGCCAGGTGGGCATTGCCCATAGGTTCACGCATATGCAGGCAGCTGATAATCATTGCGTGATCATAGCATAGGTCAGGCCTTAGCCATCTCAGGAGTTGATTATACATCTCCATCAGGTGTGACACCACGCAGCTCGCTACATGGCATAAGTTAGTGTTTTCTTCTGCTGTAGGGCATTTTCTGAATCTAATGAGATGATCATGTGGGTTTTTGTCTTTCAGTCTGTTTATGTATTAGATATAGAACTATCCCTGCATCTCTAGGATAAAGCCAATTTGATCATGGTAAATAATCTTTTGGATATGTTCCTGAATTCAGTTTCCAAGTATTTTCTTGAGAATTTTTAAATATTCATAAGGGATACTTTTCTGTAATTTTCTCTTTTTTTGTAGGATCCATTTGTGGTTTTAGTATGAATTATGAGTAGCTTCATAAAAAGTATTAGTATATGTTCCTTCAGTTTCTATTTTGTGGAATAATTTGAGGCATAATGACTTCAGTTTTTTGAAGCTGTGGTAGAATTCTGTGTTCAATCCATCTTGTCCTGGCCTCTTATTTGTTAGGAAAGTTTTAACTACGGCTTCTATTTTACTAAGGTGCTCAGATCAATTTACATTATTTATTTCATCCTGATTTAATTTTGATAGGTTGTACATATCAAGAAATTCATCTATTTTAGGCTTTCTAGTTGGGTGAAATACAGATTTTTAAAGTATGTTCTTATGATTTTCAGAATTTCCTCAGTGAATTATAATTTCTCCCTTTTCATCTCAAATTTTATCAATTGTGTCTCTTTGGATTAATTTAGATAATGGTTTGTCAACTTTGTTGATTTGCTCAAAGAACTATTCTTTGTTTTATCGATTCTTTGTATTGTTTTTGTTATTGTTTGTTTCTGTTTCATTGACTTCTTTCCTAAGTTTGACAATTTCTTGCTATTTACTCTTTTTGGCTATTATTTTTGGTTTTATTGTTGTTGTTGTTTTCTTTAAGTATTTCATTAAGTTACTTACTAAAATGAGATTTTTCCATTTTTACTTCTTGGAGATACACCTTCATTGTATCCCATAGCTTGGATATGTTGTGTTTTAATTTTCATTAAATTCAAAAGGTTTTTAATTTCCTTCTTAATTTCTGCTTTGACTAATTTTTTATTAATGAGTTACTTAGTTTCCTTGAGTTTATGTACTTTTTCTGTTGTTTGATATCCACCTTTAACCATGGTGCTCACATAACATTGCAGGGCCTTCTGTCTAAGAAAGTGGCACAGATAGTGTTTATGGTTCATTGTGTACAGTACACTGATCTTACTTTCAAAAAGAATCTAAACTTATTATTGGATTTCCAGTTTAGAAATCTCCTTTCTATGTTTTTTCTTTACGTAAATAAATGGGTAATTTAGTATTGTACTGTAGAGTATCTGAAGTGTGTTAACATTTTTTAGCATCTTCTAAATAAACTTACTAAGAATAAACCAATTCTAAATTTTTACCACAGTTCTGTTTAAGATAATCTCTGAGTTTACATTTATTTGCAACCTTGAAGTAAAATTTTAAGTGGCTTCTCAAGAGTTTAGTGAAATTTGTGATGGAAGTCTTATAATTAGAATGATAAAAAGAAACTGAAGACTAGAGACATCAAATTATCCTTGTCTATAGAAGGAAACATAAGGAATTGCTTAAAGAATATGTTTAATTACCAACTCAGATGTTTTCCATTGTTACTTTTAAGGCTTTTGAAGAACTAACCATTTAGCAAGTTAATCACATGCTCAAGTTATTGTAGGCATTATGTCACACTATATGCGTTAGAATTACATGGTAAGAGCAAAAAATAGTAGCAGTGTTTAGGCTAAAAAAATTGTTAGAAAAAACAACCTGGATGGTAGTGGCTGGGATTCAGAAAAATCGTAAAGGCTTTCTTGAGCTACAAACCACGCACCTTATCCTCCTGAGGATGCAGTTATGTTAAGGAACAGGTGCACAGCTTGGGAGTCCAATTTCAATTCCCAGCACCCACATGACAGCTCACAATTTTTTGTAACTCCCAATTCCACAGGGTCTGACATCCTTACACAGACAAATATGAACATAAAATTAAAAAAAATGAATAAAATAGTAAAAATATTCAAATGTCAAAATACTTAAAAACAAAGTCCTTGTTTCTAGGCAATTCTCAGCTTATTCCTAGGCTTCTTAGAGATGATTTTCTTCATTGAAATAATAATAATTTGATCACTTTGGGAACATCATTAGAGTGTTTTCAAACAGTTGTCAGGATTAAGATTTCTTGTGCATGATTTTCTCTTTCAGGAGAAAGAACGATTGAAACAAGAGAAACGCGATGAGAAAAGGTTGAATAAGGAGCGCAAACTAGAGCAGCGGAGACTGGAATTAGAAATGGCAAAGGAACTAAAGAAGCCTAATGAAGACATGTGCTTAGCAGACCAAAAGGTGATTATGATGTGTGAGCCATCTCACTTGCAAATCCCATTTCTCCAGTTTTCTTGTCAGTTTCCTTTTCCAGAAGAGCACGAGTTTCCAAGCGTGGTCCGCTCTGCCTGGATAGTCAGCTGTCCTTTTGCTGGTCAATGCAGCACTACAGACCTCTCAGTCCTCCTAGATGGACCCCAGAAATCACAAGGACAAGGCAGAGAAGCAGATGTGCCTCTGTGGCTCTCTTGTTCTATCCAGTAACTGAGCACAGAAAAGCTTGACATCTCTTTACCCCCACAGACACTTTATCTGAGTTCCTCCAGTTGGTCAGCTACTCTATTGAATGTGTCCACTGCATGCTGAGTGCCTATACGAATTCTTTGAAGGACATGTTTTGGTCTAGTCTTCAGTAAAGTCCCAGGGCACTGGTATTTATTTGTCTCAATTTGTTGATGAAAAACCTGAGACAAAGAGGAACCTTGCCCTTGATCACACTGTTTGCTGTTAGAGGCCATGCTATCTAGTAGGGCTTGCATTAAATTAACATTCAATTTATTTTACTTAGCATAACTGCTTTAAAATAAAAATCAATATATACTTGTCAGGTTTTTTTGTTTGGACGTTTATATTTTCTTAAGCAGAATGGGAAAAAGGAAGGCAAAATGAACTGGCTTTCAAGTAGAGCATTGGCTATTACTCATAATTCAGTGTTTGCAAACAATATTAAAAGAAATTCTTCAGTGAGTTACCTGAGTAAGTGCAGAGCAAAGGGCCAATCCAGATAATATTTACAAGTTACTTTTTTCATATAGAATTTAAATTACATACATGGGCAAAATATGCCTAATTTAGATTACCTATTGAATTTTTAATGTCTATAATAAACTTAATGTAGCTTAATTATTAGAGTGCTGCCATGTGTGCGTACAGAAGTGGCAAAGAGATTTCTCTCTAATTTTAACACTAAAGCTCATATTGATGCTTTACTAAACACAGGGACCTACAGCCCTAGAGTTGGATTGTAACCAGACTCATGAGTTCTGGTAATGTGGACCCAATGACTTACTGCAGCCGTTAGCTGTTGATGGGCTCACTCTTTCCAACCAGAATGTCCATGGTGCAAGCTCATAGCAGTTCTGAGCCACCATTAAACACGAAGAGCTCAGCGAATAATTACGTAGTGGTACGGTACTTTTGAAATGCTTATTATTTTGATTTGCTTGGTTTGTTGCTTGGTTTTGGTCGCGTGATTGGTTTGGTGTGGCTCATGCTGTTATATAACCTTATTTTATCAACATAAGAAATTTTCAGTTCTTCTTTCTGCTGTCAAATTTGAATTCATATCTAGCTCAACCCAGATTTGCAGGTGATTGCTTGCTTTCAAAACCATTTACATATTAGTGCCTTGGGAGCTGCAGTAATGCTCACAGGAACTCTATCCTCATATACAGGATAAAGAAATACAGCAGCTTAAGTTTCTTTGGATGATAGAAAAGCCATGCTTTGGAGAACTGGAGAGATGACTCAGTCAGTGAAGGGCCTGCCACACAAGCACCAGCACCTGCGTGTGCATGCCCAAAGCCACATAGACACTGGGCACAGGCAGGGCCAGGTGTCGTCAACCCAGGACAGAGTGGCGAGAAATTCCCTGGCCAACCTGTCCAGCCAAATTAATGAGCCCCAAGGTGTTTAGTGGGAGATTCTGTTTTTAAAAATAAAGTACTTAATATGTATGGGAGAAATGGCTAGTATCTTTGCTAGATGAGTAAAGTATTTGCCATCAAACCTGACAACTTGAATTTGATATTCTCCAGAACCCATATGACAGGAGAAAGCCTGCTCCTGCTGGTTGTTTCCTGACCTCCATAGGCATACTGTTGCCCGCCCGCCCATACCCTCCTGCATGCATCCAACACAAACACCATAGATGATAGATAGAGAAGGAGAGAGAGAGAGAAAAATGTTTAACCAGCAGTTAAGGGGGGAATCAGTGTCTACATATCTGTACATAACCTTGTATGTACAAACAAAATCTAGACTTAATTTTTTTAAAAGCTGTGTTAATTTTTCTTGTGTTTTGTTTGCAGCCCTTGCCAGAGTGGCCTCGCATCCCAGGACTTGTCCTCTCTGGAACCACATTTTCAGACTGTCTCATGGTGGTGCAGTTCTTACGAAACTTTGGTAAAGTTTTGGGCTTTGATGTGAATATTGATGTTCCAAACCTCAGTGTTCTTCAAGAGGGATTGCTAAATGTAGGGGACAGCATGGGTGAAGTCCAAGACTTGCTTGTGAGACTCCTCTCAGCTGCTGTGTGTGATCCAGGTCTAATTACAGGATACAAGGTAAAAACACCCGAATCTAACCCATTGCTTTAAGTCTGTACTCTCCTTGTATTGCTGGTTAACTTTTCCATGATAGCAGAAGATTGTATAGATGTTCTTTATTTCATTGTTCACGTTTATCTTTTGGAGTTAAATGTAGATTTATATTAGGTTACAGTTGGGGCAAATGTAGCAGAATCTTGGTAGATGGAGGAATGCAGACCAGCCTCCTGGTTACTCTTTATTGCTCTAGTTGTAGGCATTTATGGAAATATACCAGTGGTAACTGTCAAAAGCAGAATTCATAATTGCTAAAGGATTTAGAACTTGCATGCTGATTCTGAAGTTCTCCTTTGACAATTGTTGTAAACAGCAGGCTATTGAATGCCATTTAGTTCACAGTGTTGACTCTGTGTTGGTCAGTAAGTACTCCATTCGTGCACATATGTCTGTCTTATCAGATACACATTCAAGGTATCTTTTCTCTAGACAATACTGTAGAATGCTAAGCTTCCAGGGGCAATGGTGTTTTTCTCCATGTGCCTATCACTGACTTGACGTAATAAAGGTAGAAAATAATCACAGTGATTTTGATCATCAGTACTTTGCCATTCGTGCCAAAATGTCTTTACAGAGGATACTTGATGACTACTTAAATCTATCTCCTATCAATATTCAGATTCTTCTCCTTCCCTCAGTCCAGGAAGGGTTTAATAAGGGGACGGAATACAATAGACATGTGAATATCTGTCTATCATGCAGTTTTATCTCCATTCCAGTTCTGTGATAAAGTCCTTATTAGTAATATCTAGAGCATATAAGCCAATATTTTATTCCTATTTTTGAATGAATGAAGATGATAAACATTGATAAAAATGCCAAACTTTCTAGGCCAAAACCGCTCTTGGAGAGCACTTGCTGAATGTGGGTGTGAATCGAGACAATGTGTCGGAGGTTTTGCAGATTTTCATGGAAGCCCACTGTGGACAGACGGAGCTGACGGAGAGCCTCAAGACTAAAGCTTTCCAGGCTCACACCCCAGCACAGAAAGCCTCCGTCCTCGCCTTCCTCATTAATGAACTGGCGTGCAGCAAGAGTGTGGTGAGGTAAGCCAGGCGTTTCCTGTTTTGAATGTGTCTAGTCATGGGGGATGCAAACTGCTTCTAGAAAATTTGGAAGTTATTGACTAGCACCAAGAAGAAAATCAAAATCGTAAATCACCATTAGAAGATAGCCAGCAATACTATTTCAGTTAGTTTCTCTGTGTTCTGTGTTCTATGTGAACATAATGATCTTTCTGCATATATGTAATCTGTATTCTTTGTTACGTTTATTGTTTAATCATTTTGCTAATTCTTCATGTATTGGATATCTTTATTATTTGCTCCAGTGCTAGAATCCAGAACCATTCTAGGAATCCAGAAATTTTTTTCTTTGACGTCTTTGAGGACCTGATTTTCCTTAAATTCATAAAGTGATCCCGTTGCTTATTTCTTTGTGTCCTAGTCTAACCTTAGATTTCCAGTTGGCCAGTGAAGTAGTTTATACTTTATTTAAGATTTCAAGTCCATCTGGCACTCTGTTACTATGCACAAAAGTGTTAGCTAGTGTTCGAGCATGTCAGGTTCACTGTTCATCCTTTGCTTATTCTTAATTTGTCTAAAAATTTACTTGTCTTACTTTTAGTCTTTTACCTTTTTAGGAAAAAGGATTTGTAAATTTATTTTTACCATTGGTAGACAAATTAAACCTTCTGTACCTGTCTTAGCTATGATATAGTAATGTGAATGTTATCATTTATTTTTTGTGTCCTTTTCAAATATCTCCAAGAGTGTATTAATATTTTGTTTGTGAAATTATTTCATTATGCATAAGCATGATGACAAATAGTAATGCTGAGTGGCTCTTTAAAAAAAATATATATATATATATACGCATATAAATTCATAGTACAGAGAACATTGATATTTTCTGTTTTGGAAGAATAAAGGCACAACCATTCTATTACCACCAGCAAATACCACAACATCCATATTTTCCATGTTGACATGTAGACATACACAGAGATGTTATGTGTACATAAGTAAGTATATATACTTACGTAAATGTACATCTATGTCCTCATTTCCAGTTGAATGTGAAAATGGTCATTTCCTAAATATATACCAGACCCATCAGAATGCTATTTTTATAAGGAATTGTGAGAGTGTATTACAGCCCTGTTACCAAAGTAACTTTTCTAATAGTAATATTGTATCTAATGAAGAAATGATTGTTTTTTAAAGTCAGTATGAAATATGATTGTTTGTATAATTTTACCTATGAAAATGTATGATGTTGCATGTTACATGGACACATTGTGGATTATATCTTTTATACATCTTTGTTTTGGCAGTGAGATCGACAAGAACATTGAGTATATGTCAAACTTGAGGAGAGATAAATGGGTAGTGGAAGGTAAACTCCGCAAGTAAGTTCTATTTTATTAATTTAATGTGCTGTCTTCCTTTAGTTCAAGTCTCCAGTAAGGCATGTGGGCTGGAAGGAAGGAGTTTAAACTTTACTTTTTGTACAAGAAAGATACTATTTCACCTGGAGTCTGAAATAAGTGATGGAATCTAAAAGCAGACAAGGAAAATAGATTCATTGAACTCATGTTTCAAACTTAAAAGAGACATTTTTCTTTTTTCTTTCAGCAAAGTCAAGCAACCATGTTTTCTGTTGTTGTTGCTAATGGATTGTATTTGTCTTAGTTGATATCTGGGACTATCCTTTCTCGTAATGATTCTTTTTTTAATTAAGTTTGCTTCTACAAAATATAATAAAAATTATTCAATATTAAAATTTAATTATTTTCCTTCCAGGGAATAAATTCATCTGCTGTGTTAAAAGGGTATATGACCCACACATGTAATCTCAGCATTCAGCATGCTGAGGCAGGAAGATCTAGGGTTTAAGACCACAGAGTTACATAGTGAAACACTTTTCCCAAATTAAGATAAATAAATAGACTAGAAGAACATTTTCTGGCCCGGAGAAATGGCTCAGTGCTTGGGAGTGTTTATTGTACTTGCAGAGGACCTGGGTTCAATTCCCAGCACTTACATGATGGTGCACAACCATTTATAGATCCCACTTTCAAGAGACTTGATGCCTTCTTCTGACCTCTGTGGGCACCAGGCACTCACATGGTGTGAATACATACATGCTAACACATAAAATAAGTTAAAAATGTTAAAAGACTAGTTTCTTTGCAGTAATTTGAATTGAAATGTAGTCAGGCACATAGTACAGAAATCCGGAAGTACCAGTCGAACATTGTCAGAATTATTCATCTCAGCTTTCATGGGCGGTTTTTGTCAAATATGGAAACATATGTCTTAAATTTCTCTACTTGAATTTTTACTGCCATTGATACATATTGTTTATTACATGAGCTCAAGACTCACATTATGATCTGGATGCGGTGGTTCACACCTGGAATCCCAGCACATAGGAGGCAAAGGCAGGAGGATAACAAATTTCTAAGGCCACCTAAGCTACAAAATGAGACCTAGCTTCATGTGCCAAGTACTGAGTGAGATAATGATGTTTGCCTAGGAAACACTATTGAATCCTCAGCACTGACAGAAAGAGGGGAAAAAGAAAGTTTGGCATTATGCTCATAAAAATTACAAACTTTAGTGGTGACAACAGTAGATTTTGATTCTGTATCTTTCTTTTAATGTTTAAAGGCTCAGGATAATTCATGCAAAGAAAACAGGCAAAAGAGACACTGCAGGAGGCATTGATCTCGGAGAAGAGCAGCATCCCCTGGGCACCCCCACTCCAGGACGCAAGCGGAGAAGGAAGGGAGGAGACAGTGATTATGATGATGATGATGATGATGACAGTGATGATCAAGCAGACGAGGATGATGAAGATGAAGAAGATAAAGATGACAAAAAAGGAAAAAAGACTGATATTTGTGAAGATGAGGTAATCCAGTCAGGTTCATGTGTAAGATTTAGCAAGAGCTATGCAACCTGCCAAAAACCAACACGACATTTAAAGCCATTGAATTCAGCTTGGGGCATTTACTTGTCCCAGTTTCTTCATCTGAAAATTATTTCCTCCTCCTCCTCCTGTCTCTTCCTCTTCCCCTGCCAGGCTTGCCTGTGCTGTGCTCCCAGCCTGAAGATAGTGTTGTATTTGTCTCTTGACGTGTGTTGTGATAATTAAGGAAGCACTTAATTATGGTTCCATGGTTGCACATGGAAAGAAACTTGGAAGTTAGATTTGCTTTGTGTGTGCAGATGCTTTACTCAACAGGTGTGTCACAATGGTCCCCTAAGCTCGTATCACCTGCTGACATTGTTGCCATCTTGTTTTGTTTCAGAGTTCTCTGTGATGTTCAAGTAATGAAATCACTAATATTGTATTGCTCTGAATGTATGTATCCCTGTTGTTAGTTGAAACATGACCATCAGCATCTTAGGAATTGTCTCTAGAGTGCTGTCGATTCAGATCCACAGATATTCTCTCTGGTATCACTGACACATTGTGTTACACTTGCTTACCTCTCATGCCTCAAAGGTTTGGTCAGGTTTAGTGCAAACTCTAGCTTTCACAGCTTTAACCCAAGATGAATGCAGCACTGAGCACCCTCACCACTGTCAGTGAAGAAGTTTTTTTTTTTTTTAAGATAGAATGTTAATTGGCATAATGGGAAGATATTTGCAATGTAGATCACATGCCCATGAAGGACATTAGGCATTTAGAGGAACAAACTCTCACAAGTACTTTCTGCAGCCATTCACTGAGAACTACATCTCAGGGTGGATGTTCGCATGGGGAATGCAGAGAACAGTGTCTGGCAGCTGCTACGATGCTGCGTTTCTTAATTGTTTGGGCATTATTTTTTATGAAATGCAGTGGGTTGTTTTTCCACCTGTCCTTTCCTTTGCTATGCAGGGATTTTTTTTTATCTGACCTGGTCCCACTGTTGAACTTTCTTTTGGTGTCAGAGCCCTGCAAAGATGACATTGAGATTTGTTGCAGGAAGAAACTGTTCCACTTCCTCCAGACTTTCATGTTACCACTACTGGCTTCAAACTCGAGGCCAAGAGGCCAGGGCCTCTTGCTGAGACTTCTGACTAGCGTGGGGCTGCACGTGCCTGGCCCTGTGCCCTGATATAATGTACTTAAACATTCATTTTGTCGCAGATATGTAAGAAGTATCTAATTTGAGAATCACAGACCCATCCATCAGTAATCTGTTTCATTTGGAAAGTGGAGCCATTTCCATAACAGGAGCTAAGCCTTTCCAGGCTTGGTGGCTTTTTTAGATATTTAATATTATAAATTGGCTTAAATGTTGGCACAAATTTCTAGCCCTGCTTTGGGATTTCAGTGTGTTCTGCTGAGTGATGTTACTAAAGTGGGTTGATGGGTAGAAATTGTTTGCTTCACCTTGCTTCTGGGGGGAAAGGGAAGACAGTCTGCTCATATAGGCCATGCAAACCCTGACTTCCCTTGGTTCATGACCCTTCTGGTCTCAGCTTTGTATGTGTGCAAAGCTTGAAAGATTAAAAAACACGTAAATCTTCAAAAGATTAAAGATTATAGCTGTGTATCACACTACCCAGTCTCGGACTTCCTTTTTAATTACATAATTGGGAGCCATAGATTTTATTATTTATACATAGAACATGTCATTTAACATAGCTATAGTGCGAGTAATCATCGTTAGATATAGGGTTTATTACCATTATATATCCTACTATTAACATAAGGAAATGGTATAAAAGTTTTAAAATAATAAATTTTTAGGGTCTTAAAAAACCAATTTATGTTTTCTTTAGCTAGATAGAATGACATGTGCCTATCCTACTGCACTTAGGAGACTAAGAAAAGGAGAACAAGGAGTCCCAAGCTAGTCCCAGCTACATACTACGGCCTTATTTAAAAAAAAAAAGTTGCTGTGGGAGTGGCTGGCACATGTACCCTAGAGGCCAAGAGACAGAGCATATCTGTGAGATCGGGGCCTGCTTAGGCTGCCAGGAGAGTTCCAGGGCAGCCAAGGCTGCAGTTTAAACCTCGTCTTAAATAGTTTGTTTGGTTTTTTTTCTGCATCATTTTTATTTTTTTCTATTTTTTATCTTATATCATCTTTGCCCTCCAGAGATTTCCATATTTATGACCTCTTTTCTCCATTAATTGTTATATACTTGTGTACATATTAAATAATCTTTTTTTAAGAAAAGAAGAGCTTTTGTCCCCTTGAAATGATTGGAAGGAGTCTTTATAATAATAAAGGCCTGGTAGACATGTATGAAATATTGGTTAGTTAATAAAGTACTGATGATATCCAAGAGCAACCTTGGCTTCTTGCTTAACTCTAGTTTGTGTGTCAGTACAATAGTTATAGTTATTGAAGGATTAATTACTGGGTGGTTTTTCATTAAGGCTCAGTTAGAAGATGCTGCCTTCAACTAAGTCACACCCTTTGTCTCAGTCAATTCCTTTCTGTTTCCATGCTTACTCCTTTTACACATAACTTTCCTAATTGTTGGACTTGTGTTGAGACTCTGCTGGGCTGTGTCCTCACTAGGTGATGTACATGAGGTTGTGTGGAACATTAAATGATTAGCTCAAAGGCATTTTTGATTAAGAAGCAGTGGAGAACCATGGTGAGGATAATTTCTGTCTTTAGTTTTGATAATTATGTATGTTCTTTCTGTTGTCACATACCTCTGATCTTCTAGGTTCTTTTATGTTTCCTAAAATTATGGGTTTTGTTTGTTTTGTTTTTTTGTTTGGGGGTTTTTCAAGACATGGTTTTCTCGGTGTAGTCCTGGCTGTCCTGGAACTTGCTCTGTAGACCAGGCTGTCCTCAAACTCACAAAGATCCAGCTGCGTCTGTATCCCAAAAGATTAAAGACGTGCACAGCCACCACCCAACTAAAATTATAATTAACCAAAACTCCTTTAATTAAAACTTAGTAGACTATCATTCCTTTCTCATCCTGAGAGAAGTATTAAAAATTACAGTTTGTAGGTTGTTTGGACCACAGTTGTAGGATACTTGCCTTGTTTTGGCCAGGCCTTAGGACAATCCCACACCACTAGACAAGTGAAGAGGCTGCATTTGGTTGATTTGGTAGGTGCATTACTACTTTGTTACCGTATTCCAGTTATCTGTTGCTGGAATGTAATTCTTGCTTTAGTAAATTCTCAAAACATTGGTCCTGCTTATGAAAAGATCACTTTATATCAATATTTAAGTACCTAGCTGAGAGTCAGGATTTGAGGATTTGGAGGCTTGTTATCTTTTTATCCCAGTTAGAATTCATGTTACTTTTAGCACGGTCTATGTAAAAGCCAAAGTAACTCTTGTCCCCTGACTTTGGATAAGAAGTGCGTAGATAATAGGTGATTATGAAACTGTGAACACCTTTCCTCCCTCGCCTCTGTTTACTAGGTGTACATCTCTTTTCTGATGTGTATGAACAAGTGGTGGTGACTTTTGAAAAAATGCTTCTTTTTGGACGGGAATGCCAGAAAAAATGCCCAGAGGAAATATCAAAAATGAATTGAAGAGCTAAGAATGTAAATGTTTGAATGTTCATGTGTCATACACAAGCCCCTCTCTTTAACCAGTACCCTTAAAAAGTGCTCTGAGCACTCTGCTCAGTGTTAAAATTCCTCCTTTACTACTTCTATACTTTGTATGTAGCTATGGATGTGTGTGATGCATTCACGCGAGATTTGATGAGGAAAGAATGAAACTCTGAAGCAGATAAATAATTCTGTGTTTTATTGTTTAGGATGAAGGTGACCAGACAGCAAGTGTTGAGGAGCTGGAAAAACAGATTGAGAAACTGAGCAAAGTAAGCATGCTCAGATGTGTGTTCACATCTGCGTATAGTGTTCTAAAATCCGGGATTCGTTTTTCTGGGTGCTAAGTAACAGCAAGCTTTCCATAAGTAATTAAACAGAAGGATTCCAGAAACATCCTCACAGTTAAACCTGACTGGCTGGATGCTGGAGTTAGAAGCCTCTGAAAGCATTATGCTTAGCCAAATCTGTGAAGAAAGAGGTCTAGACTCCTCAATTGGACCTTTAAATTAATGATCAGTAAAATATATTCTCTTTGAACTAATTACTCAAAAAAATTCTGAGTTTCATAGTAATTTTAATATTTCTATTTCATTTTACACTTGTACATTTATTTATTATACTTAAATTAGACTTATGAACTGTTTATACTTCAGTATTTATCATTAAAATTTATGTTTTGTTTTCAGTATCATAATAAAATTTAAGATGAATCTTTTTAAGAAAAATTAAGTTTTTTTTGTTTTTAGATTATACTATAATTACATTTCTTCCTTTCTTTTCCTCCCTCCAAGTTCTCCCTTAGACCCCTCCCTACTCTCCTTCACATTCATGGCAGAAAAATTAGTTGGTTGGGTTTTTTGTTTGTTTGGTTGGTTGTTTTTTTTTTTTTTTTTCAGAACTAAGGCCTGGACCCAGGGCCTTGCGCTTGCTAGGCAAGCATTCTTCTATTGAGCTAAATCCCCAACCCCAAAAATTAGTTGTTAAGTACTGTAAGATGCCTGTACATTATTGTCTCAGTGTTCATTCCCTAGCTGTATGTCAAAATTTAAGCATGTGTTGAAAAGGCAGAGAACATGTGTACAAAACTGAACAGATGTAGGCATGCTTAATTGTATGGAGAAGTATTGGCAAAGTTCTGAAATCATCCGATTCGTTCTGGCTTAGTGACGTATTTGATGACGTGTACCATCATGTTTCTATGTACTGGACAGTATGATGACGCAGTAAACATAAGAGTACCTTTGCTGACTTTTACGGCACGCAGTGTCTGTGATGTAATTATATGGATGACTTTTTAACAGCAACAGAGCCAGTACAGGCGAAAGCTCTTTGATGCTTCCCACTCGTTGCGCTCAATGATGTTCGGTCAGGACCGTTACCGACGCAGATACTGGATTCTTCCTCAGTGCGGAGGGATTTTTGTAGAAGGCATGGAGAGTGGTGAAGGTAAGAACTGCAGTCTCCTAAGTGGGATATTGTCTCCACTGCCCCCGCCTCAAACAGAGACCGCCTGCCTCTGTCTCCTGAGTGCTGGGATTAAAGGTGTGCGCCACCACTGCCCTCTAGGATATTGCATTTTTAGAAAGCTTGTTGCTACTGCCCTGTCTTGTGTCCTTTCATAATCAAGTGTGCTTTGTTACTGGGCATAGCGAGTGCTCAGTTCTCATTCCATTGAAGCCTCTTACGCTGAGGGTTCGTTGCTCTTGCTTTTCTTCTGCGCCAGTCTCCTGTGATGCTGCTGCACCGCGTGCAGTGGTCCTCACTGTCCCCCTGTGACTGCTGCACCGCGTGCAGTGGTCCTCACTGTCCCCCTGTGACTCTGCTGCACGGCATGCAGTGGTCCTCACTGTCCCCCTGTGACTCTGCTGCAGGTGTTTCTTCTCCCACTGTCAGACTCTGAGACCTGGCCTTTCACAGTAAGCACTGTCCTGACAGAACTGCAGAAGACTGGCTCTGAGATCCTTTCCTAAATCTTCATTTCAGTTTAGAATCTTGTTCATTTTAAAATTTATGAGCACCTAAACCCCTTTAACTTCTTTACTTGTCACCACTGATTTTTAATATTTCATCTTTAAATATCCCATTCCAAACTGTACTATAGAGTTAACCTTCTGTGCTCAGTGAAGTGGATGATAGCGGTAACCTTCTGTGCTTAGGAGGCTGAATGATAGAGCTAACTTTCTGGCTCAGTGAACCGGATGAGAGAGCCAACCTTCTGTGCTCAGTAAACTGGATGATAGAGCTAACCTGTGCTCAGTAAACTGGATGATAGAGCTAACCTGTGCTCGGTAAACTGGATGATAGAGCCAACCTTCTGTGTTAAATAAGGCTCGTTGAGCTCAGCTTTTCAGAACTCCATTGCTGAGTGTTACTAGATGTCAGAATCTGATTGGAAGGTAGGGTTGTGTCAGCACTTTTGAGTCCCAGGGTGTGGCTCTCAACCCTTGGTAGTATATTGGTGGTAAATACACGTGTCTTCTTAATGTATAGATTCTATAGGAGGTACAGATTTCTATGAAGAACAATCTATAGCCAGGCCCTAGACTCATTTCTGTAATTCCGTCTCATGAGAGGCAAAGGGTTGAGACCACCTTAGGCTATATCATAGCAAGACCTTTTTAGGAAGGAGGGAGATTGGTTTTCCTACAGAAAAACTGACTACTGCAGTGTGGAGAGAGACTTGGTTAATCATATAGAAGGTAGAAATGTAACAAAGCATTTGTTTTAGTAATAGAACAACCATTCTTTTTTTTTTTTCTTTTCTTTCTCCCCTTCCCCCCAAGATAGTGTTGGTGTAACAGCTCTGACTGTCCTAGAACTCACTTTATAGACCAGGCTGGCCTCGAACTTGCTGAGATCCGCCTGCCTCTTCCTCCCAAGTGCTGGGATTAAAGGTGTGTACCACCACAGCCCTGCTTAGAAACACCATTCTTAAAATCTTTATGTGAACCCTCGGCAACTTAAAAACAGAAAGAGAGAGGAAGAGAGAAAACACAAATAGAATTGTGATCGGTGTCCCTGGACAAACTCGTGTTTTTCCAGACACATTTCCTCTCTAGTGAGGGGCGACTCCTGTGATCTCAAGAACCAGCAAACTCAGGCGAATTAGTCCCTAGTGCTGCTCGGGAGAATTAATTAGTATGATATAGTATTAATTCTAATTAGAAGCTAATTCAAGAGAAGGGACTGAGAGCTTTCAAACGTTAATAGAGGACTGGCTAGACATGATATACTACTCAGCGTATTGTGTTTTGTGGTCAAAATGAGGTTCAGTGCAGTGTTTTGCCATGGGAAGCTCTCACAGTAGAGCTTCAGGGAAATTGGAATGCATCCATCCCTTCCGCCACTGTACTGGTGGGCCTTGTGCATGCCCCACATGCCTGTCTGGGTCCCTGACTATCTCCAGCTCTAGCCGCATCCTTTATTTTACAGCAGCCCCCTTGTTAAGGAGAGCTTATTGACTGGAAATCCATTACCACAGAAGGGAGAAGAGTAAAAACAGATTGCTATGTTCAGAACTCTGTAAAGGAAGCGACGTAGAATGACATTCCAGAGGAGTGGGAGACACCTAGTGCACTCAGGGTGATCAGGGAGCACTCTTGAGAAAAGGGTATTTAACCTGAGCCTTGAGGGCCAAGAACTGTTGAGCGGAACACTGTCCTGCATGAGAACAGCAAGCAGAGACCTTGAAGAAAAGCCCTCGCGTATTTGAGAAGCAGAAAGAGAGGAGATGGGAACAACAATATTTTCCAGGGCCAATGGTGCAGAGATTATAGGGGTTTTGTCAGATATTGTGGAGTGCTGAGGCCTTAGTAAGGATTTGGGATTTTATCCCATTTTGCAGAAGAGTGTACAGGATTCTATTTATGCAGTACTCCAAACCATAAGTTACATACACACCATAAAACAGGAACAAAGAGTGTGAACAGATAGAGCTCCAAAGAAACTATTCAAGTGGGAAATAAATAACTTGAAAATGGTGAATGCCACAAGCTAGGTAGGATGTGTGTGTGTGTGTGTAACTCCTTGGAGGAAGTTACACCTGTATCGATCTGATTAAGCATGTTAGTCTTGAGCAGCAGTAAAGATGGAGGAATAGGCAGGATGGACAGACTCTGTACCCTTCATGACTGATTGATTATGTTAGCCTGAAAGTGAGCTGGTTTTCAGATAGAATAAAGTAGATTCATTTTAATAAAATTCATCTTTGAATCCTTTGGCATTAATAGGAGAAATGGTGGCCCACAAAAGGATATTTAATGCACTAATGATCAGATGTGATCCAATTTAGTGTTTTGCCTCCTAGGCATTGGCAAAGACAAAAAAAAATATTGATAGCATCTAATTTTGTGAGGATCTAGAAAAAAACAGTTATCCTTATGTGCTTCTGGGGTGAGTGTGTTTGGTTATGGGTTTGACCCAAACTTTCTAGAGGACAGTTTGACAGTATACTTCAAGAACTCTTAAAAAGTATATATGTTAAGTTGATTATTTTAAGGAATTCGCCCAAGGAAATAGATTTTTTAAATGCACAAATGAAAAATACCATTTATTGTTATGTAAAAAATATAAAAATTAAAATGCATATCATTTATTGCTAATAGTAGATAATTTTACTCTACTGCTGTCTTTGAGCAGAGTAGTCATGAAATCATCCATTCCGTATCACACAGATACTAAATGTATCTATATGACATAGTTATTTATATATTTATTGATGTTTCATACATAGTCACAAATTATTGAAACAGGTAGGCTGGACTGGATTCCCCTTTTCAGATTACACAGGCTGAGAGGTACAGATCTACTAGTTCTTACTGTGTAGGTTTTGTTTTTAATAACTGCACATTCATAAATGTTGTTGAAGAGAGAGAGAGAGTGTATGTATGGGGGTAAGCTTGTGTGTTGTGTTGTATGTGTGTCTGTGCCATGCATGGAGAGACCAGAGGAGAACATAGGATGTCTTTCCTTACCACTCTTTTTTTGCTTTTTCGAGACAGGGTTTCTCTGTGGTTTTGGAGCCTGTCCTGGAACTAGGTCTGTAGACCAGGCTGGTCTCGACCTCATCCTTACCACTCTTTATGGCCTTGAGACAGGGCCCCTGGCTGCAGAAGAAAGTCACTGTTTCTGCTGGCCTGATGGGCCTGCAGATTCCCCTCCAACACTTGAGTTCCAGGCACGATGGCCTCATATGCCTGCTGTGTGCGTTCTGGGGATTCAAACTCGGGTTCTCTCGTACTTGCACAGCCAGCATTCTTACCCACTGAGTCATCTCCACAGCCGTACATTTAATTTTTTATGCTAATGATTGAAAAAATCCATAAGAAAATGAAGACTATAAGATGTGGAAATTTGACGTATTTTTATATAATTTGGTGAATAATAAAACTTAGCTATAGTAATGGTTTAATGTTTAGTAATAACTTAATTTAATGGCATCTTTTGCTTGTATAGGCCTAGAAGAAATTGCAAAAGAAAAAGAAAAGCTTAAAAAGGCAGAAAGTCTCCAGATGAAAGAAGAAGAAGTATTTGAGACTCCTGCAGAATCTTTAAATTGTTCCATTCCCGATCACTGTGAGCAGAAGGAAGACCTTAAAGAAAAAGATAACACAAACCTCTTTCTTCAGAAACCTGGCTCTTTCTCCAAGTTAAGCAAGCTTTTGGAAGTAGCTAAAATGCCTCCTGAGTCAGATATTATGACCCCCCCAAAACCGACTGCTAATACGAACGGATGTACATTGTCCCATCAGAATGGGGGCAAGCATTCCCTGGGGAGCCTTCCCTTGGCGGCAGCGCAGAGCGGCTTGGAAAAGACAGACGCAGGTCTGTTTAGCTCTGCCTCGGGTAGCTGTGCGAAGTTGTACGGCCCTCTCCCCAACGACCAACTGCTAAAAACACTGACTGAGAAGAACAGACAGTGGTTTAGCCTTCTGCCAAGAACACCTTGTGACGACACTTCCTTGACCCATGCTGACATGCCAGCTGCTTTAGGGACTCCTCAGTCTCAGCCACCATCAAAGTCACCATCACCTGCTCCAGCTCCGCTTCTTGGGCCGTCTTCTCAGAGCCCTGCTGGACTGAACCCATTTACTTTACCGCCTCTTCAGGTTAGTGCTGCTAACAAAACAGGTTGTGGCCGTACTTTGACCTTTGGTGATCTTCAAGCATCCTGAGACAGTCTGAAAAACCAAAGCAGTCAGAATGTCTGTCACAGGCTTCATCAGCTCTCCTGCTATCTAGCCTTATTAAGTTGGCTTACTCTTCAGTTTGCTGCAGCTGCAGTATAACTAACATGTAATTAATTACTCTTGGGGACAAATAACATGAAAATTAATATTGTTGATAATGTGTGTAGTTTTTCTCTGATAAGTGGATATTGGTTTTGAAAGATACAATTTGAAAAAAATAATTTAAGTTTCCAAACATTCCCCAACTCCTTAGATTAATGAGTACTTTGTTTCTGTTTGGTGAATGTTGTTATTACATTAAGTATATGGAGATCGGAGGACAGCGTGCAGGAGATGGCTCTTTCCTTCCATCGTGTGAGTGCCAGGGATTGAACTCAGGAACCACAATCTGAGCTTAAGATGTTTTGTTTTACAGGTGAAAAGCGGCATGTCTATGATGGGCCTTCAGTTCTGTGGGTGGCCTGCTGGGGTACTCACTTCCAATGTCCCGTTTACATCACCTTTGCCTGGTCTGGGGTCAGGCTTGGGACTGCCAGAAGGAAATGGTAGTTCATTCTTGACCTCCAGTGTTGCTTCAAGTAAAAGTGAGTCTCCAGTACCTCCACCGGAAAAGGCCACCACAGCTCAGCCAGCAGCTGTTGAAGTAGCAAAGCCTGTAGATTTCCCTAGTCCAAAGCCTATCCCAGAAGGTAGGTGTGAGCGGTGGCTTGCAGCCCCTCGCTGTGTCTTGATTCTCATGCTGATAGTTTATTTCTCTTTTGTAAATATATCTCTGATGAATTTCCTTGTGGCTGACAAATCTTGAGGTTTGTTCTGCCATTATTTCCTAGTCAAAATAATGTAAACTATGGGCATAATTTGTCTTAACTTAGAAATGCAGTTTGGTTGGTGGAGAATTATTGACCCAGAGGACCTGAAAACATTGCTCAAAGTGCTGCATCTCAGAGGAATAAGGGAAAAGGCACTACAGAAGCAAATACAGAAGCACTTGGATTATATTACTCAAGCCTGTATTAAGAACAAGGATGGTAAGTGCCCAAGAAATTTCTGCTCTTTTATCTGATTAAGAAAATTCAGGGTTCTTTGTTGTTGTTGTTGTTTGTTTGTTTGTTTGTTTTTAAAGATTTTTATTTACTTTTTTGTTTTGTTTTCTTTTACGGGCACATTTGTCTGTATGAGGGTGTCAGATCCCCTGGAACTGGAGTTATGTACAGCAGTACCTGTCGTGTGGGTTCTGGGAATTGAATCCTGGGTCCCCAACCAGTGCCCTTAACCACTGACCCATTTCTCCAGCTCCAAAAGTTCATTATTTTACCCTAAAACCTTTTACTATATGTTAATTCTTTATTACTTTTATTTATCTTCAAATTATTCTTATTATTTTTAATTACGCATGTGTATGCATAGGCCAGAGCTATTGGATCCCCCTGGAGCTTCCGTTATAGGTTGTAGTAAGCCATGTTATGTGTGCAGGGAATCAAACTTGCGTCCTCTGGATGAACAGTACATGCTTTTAGCCACTGAGCCATCTTTCCACAGACTTTATTATTTTAGATTTTGCTTAACAGTAGCCAATTGCTTTTCTCAAATTGTGTTACTTTCTATCATTTTTTAGCACCTATAGACATATTGTTTTGTGTGTCTCCATTAGTTTATTGTTCAGCAACAAACTGTCCGCATGTGCATTGTACATTTGTCTATGTGAAGTTTATAGATGTAGTGTGTGTAGCATTTTACTCATTTGTGGGGGGGATCACTATGGGAGGGCAGTTAGAAATCAAGTAGACTTCAAAACTACTTTCTTCTCAAATGTAGTTGCTATTATTGAATTAAATGAAAATGAAGAAAATCAGGTAACTCGAGATATTGTGGAAAACTGGTCCATAGAGGAGCAAGCGATGGAACTGGACCTGAACATCCTCCAGCAAGTAGAGGACCTGGAAAGGAGGGTAGCGTCAGCAAGTTTGCAAGTGAAGGTAAAGCCGGCTTGGCATATAATCTATCTTTAGGGTGATGGAAGGTAATTGTTATTATATAAATTGTATATTGTCGTTATTGTACTAAATGTTTTCACACGATTTCATTTAATTCTCAACAGTCCTGAGTTAACCTCTCCTGTCGTACAGGTAAGGAAACGGGCTCAGTCATCGTTTGAGTGGCAAAGAATGTGTGCAAGCCAAGCCTGTTGGACTGTGTAGCACGTATGGTTTTTTACATTTTGTATTCACAGAAATCATTTTGTTTTTACCATGATAAGTACAGTTTTCTCATAAATGTCAGCAGTGTTCATGGAAGATCAAGGACTCCTTTATGTTTAACTGTTGTGTGTCAGACTTTTTCTATGTATAGTCTAAACTGGAAGGACAATACAGACATTAGGACCCATGTTCTATCAGTAAGCAGACACACCATATGTGAAGCACATGTCTCTATCTGATGGGTGTGATGTCACAGGCAACGGCCAGAGCTGAGTTCTGCTGGAGAGACAGAAGAGGCTTACACAAGATGCTCAGGCTTAGGAAGAGGGCAGTAGTATGGTTGTGCTGATAAGTAGATAGATATCCGTGTGCTGACTAAGCAGAGAAACCTGCAGAGCTTTAGAAAACTGGAGTCTCTCATGTTGATTCACTTGATATTTATGTTTTATTCAGAGGAAAATGTACTACATAATTGTATCCTTCTCAATAATTTAAATTTTGCTTCATAATTAGTTTTGAAGGTCTCAAAAAACCCATCATTTTCTAGAGCTAGTATAATATCCCTTTTTGCCACAAACATAATTGCTAACATTAGAAAACAAAATTTATTACTTCCTAAAACTATTGTGCTATGAAACTGTGTGTTTCTCCCCTATCCTGTGAACTGTCCGCACGCCTCATTTCTCTGGCATCGTCAACAAAGGAAACTCCTCCACACAAGTTAATTTTCTGGAGAAATGAAAATTATTCCATTTAGTGCTATGATTTTTTTAAGATGTTTGTTGGATTTTTTGGTTTATGCGTTTCACTGCCTCCTTAAATTGAGAATAATGCGTGTAATTTACATTGTCTTGGTGACACAATATCTTTAGCATGAAGACCAACGATCAGGCTGTAGCCCTGGGAAATGTGGAAGGGTTTACTGACTAGTTGGCTTGCTTTCCCACACGCTGCTGCCGCTTTCCACGCTCTGATGCTGCCCTCTCTCATGGTCACTTGTTAACTCCTTGTTGGTGTTGGTTTACGCGGTTCTAATTTTCCTTCACTGTATTCCATCTAATTTCCCAGTGCTAACTGACCTCCAGTTAGGAAAGCATGCCAAGTGTTTATAGATCAGAGTGTGGCCTGAAACCGGCACACTTGGATGCCTTCATCCCCCCACATTGCTGCCTTCCGTGCCCTTGCTCATGTTCTCCGCAGTTGAAATAAGTGGAATTTGCTTTTGAGTAGAGTATCTTGTCATCTTATTATTAAGCTGCTTGTGAATTGTGCTGTTGTATTATTCTGAGAACTGAATAATAACTTGAATTGTCTTTAAGTGATGAAAAAGTACTAAAATAGTTATGTCTTACTATCTATAGAAGACTTAATCATATTTTTTCTTAAAAAGAAAATACTTTTACCCTGAGAAGCTTGCCATAATGAAAGCACATTAAAATTGTGCTGTTGATCAACTAGATATATTCATTTGCATTCTGTTTTTTGAGGTAGGGTTTCTCTATGTAGCTTTGAAGTCTGTCCTGGAACTCACTCTGTAGACCAGGCTGACCTCAAACTCACAGAGATCCACCTGCCTCTGCCTCCCGAGTGCTGGGATTAAAGGTGTGCACCACCTCCATCTGGCTTGCATTTTTAATCTTTTGTGAGCTGACTAACCCCTTCAGCCATGAGCCCTATGAACTGGCTTCTGAGTTCCTGTTGTTTTCTGAAAAGCATGGGGGGGTCTACAGGCTCTGTCACACACTGAGTCTGTAATGGTGTGTGACACAGAGATGGCCGCAGGTGTCCTTAATCTGACCTTAAGTGTCCATTGCCACTATCTGAACTGCGGGCCTCTTTAACACCCGCACCATCCCATGACTTTACTCACTATGAGCCATCACTGAAATGTCAAGGCTAAAATTTACATTTATCTTTGTTATATTACTGTTAGCTTTATTTGAGTGTGCTTTTCAGCGTACAGAGCTACCTTTATCATAGTGTTACCCAAAACATTAAGTTTTCTTCCTAGTTTTAAATATTACAGATTTATAGCAACCAGCTTCGTTATTCATTCATATTGTATTAACAGAGCAAACCAAATGAAGAGCCTTTGGTCACTGGCACTTTTGGACAGAGCACAGCCATCTGGCTTTTGATTTCCTAATTCTAGTTTACTTTGCAGAAGTTGAAGTATCATATTTACAAGGTTTCTGTTGTTCAGCTATTTTGCTTCCCTTGTAGAATGTGGGAAGGTTTCTTTGATATAAGTTATCCCTGGGCCTATATGTGACCCCTAAGTATTTGTGCCTTCCCCAGGTCCTCATGCTTGCCAGGAGCCCACAGACTCATGATCCACCTCCTGTGTCAGGTTCCCTGGGCTTCCTTTCCAGATAGAAATATTCCATTGAGATAAAGGAGGAGATTTGGTCTTGATACAGAGAATAAAATAGTAATTTCTTAATTTAATTTGCAGGGAATTCCTTCTGAGTATTTTGTTTGCTATACTTTTACTCAGAGCTGATTTTTAAAAATCAGACAATAGACACTATAAAATTGGACAAAATGTGCTTCTAATCCCCAAAAAGCTTGCCTTATAACAGGAAGGTAAGATGTGGCACTTGGGTGAGGAATCTAGTAACTAACCATAAAGAACTGTAGTTTAGTGTGTGAATTTTAAAGAGTGGACTGGTTTCTGCTGGGTATCTGGGAGAGCTCAGTCCAAACTATGTAGAGTGGAGACATGTTCTGTTGTAGGAAAATGAGTGGGATTTTGACAGACAGGAACCAAGCAAATATTAACTAAGAAATAGGAGAATGAGCAGAGGACCAGGGACCGAAAATTTACCATGTTAGAGAGGAGCAAGTCACGGTGTCTAAATGCAGCGTTGGTACGTGAATGGAAAGTGAGAATGACGGAAAATTGAGGCACTTGAATGTCGATGACTGAGAGCATGTTAAAAGCTAGGCAATCTTTGGTTTGGGGACAAAGGATTGTGTGAACAAACATTGTCATGAAATTGTTCATGTATTCAATCAATATGTATATACCGAGTACGCGTTATTTTACCTTCCCTATGTTGGGAAGAAATGAGTAAAGGCCGGCATGGCCCCGCCCTTGTGATGGAAAAAGGATGTTGATGAGATCATCGTGCTGTTGTAGAGGCACAGCATGGCAAGGCTAGGGAGCATTTTCGGATCCTAGGAAAGCCTACAGCAGGAGGACTTAACCCCTTCAGGGCGTGCTTCACGGTGGGAGCCCTGCCAGGTGGATGGGCTACATTGTAGCTGAAGACAGGGAAGCACAATATGGGCAAGGGGAATAGCTATGCTGAGCTTTACAGACAAACAGAAAGTAGTGGGTATGAGGACACGCGTGGGGGAACAGTGGAAGGCACGAGGGCAGAATCAAGAGAAAAGTTCAAGGCCATCAAGACATTTCCTTTGGTACATGTATCGCATTAATGAACATGGTAGTCTAAACCTTTGCAGTTGTCTGCTGAATTTTACTGCTTATGTAATCAATGTTATTTATCACACACTTTCTTACCAACTGTTTTTCCTTTTTTGCTCTTGTTTTAACCTAGAATTAGGAAATGCAAGGTAAAACCTTTTAGTAAAGATCCTTGAGATCTGCTGGTGGTCGCTGCTGAATTTTACGTAAAGGTAACTCACCGGTCTAACAGTTTCAGAAGAAACCGTAATGACATTATTCTCTTGATGTATAGGGTTGGATGTGTCCAGAGCCTGCATCAGAAAGGGAGGACTTGGTATATTTTGAACATAAGTCATTTACTAAGTTGTACAAGGAGCATGATGGAGACCTTCCTGGTGACGAAGAAAACAGTGCACATGCACTGGCCCGGAAGAGTGACAACCCCCTAGATATAGCTGTAACCAGGCTGGCTGATTTGGAGCGGAACATTGAGAGAAGGTATCTGAAGAGCCCCTTAAGTACCACCATTCAGATCAAACTGGATAATGTGGGCACAGTTACTGTCCCTGCTCCTGCACCATCCGTTAGTGGTGATGGTGACGGGTAGGTTATTGAGATTAACTTGACAAATTATTGTGCTTCTTTGCTAATTGGAGCCTATTTTCTATTGCCTGTTATCTATGTATCTTCTTGTTTGTCTGTGATCCTTGTGGATCATGCTATTTGCATGGTGCTTTGTAAAAACTTTTTTTTTTTTTGTTATGTGCATCGATAATCTGCAAAGTGATCTTACATTTATCTGGTTGTGACTAAGCTTCAAGGCACGTAGCCACAGTCTGTGCACTACATCAAATTTAGTTGCTTAAACTTTATACTTATTGGCTGTCCATGTTTTTGTCATTGCTTGGCTTTCAGTGTGATGATTGTTTCACATTCAGTGAGCATAAATGTGGCCATGACCTACTCGATTTCTCTATATCTCAATGCAGAGTTGAAGAGGATATTGCCCCAGGGCTCAGGGTCTGGAGGAGGGCATTAGCAGAAGCTCGCAGTGCTGCACAGGTAGCCCTGTGCATCCAGCAGTTACAGAGATCAATAGCATGGGAAAAATCAATTATGAAAGTTGTAAGTGTTTTTATTTAAGAAATACTATGACTGATTTTCTCTGCTCTGTTTTTACCCAACCTCCAGATCTTTCTTAACTATATATTACCATATTGTTACAATAATATATACTGTACTTGGGAGTATGTCTAATTCTTAAATACTATACAATTTATTCTTTTTTCTTATCTTGAACTTTTTGTTGCAACCTGCCAAATATATTGTCTTCTCTTGCTCAAATTTTGGCTTTGTTTCCTTTGAATACTTGTCTGTAATGCTAACAGTTTGCCTCCTGAACTATATCAGCATAAGGTTGTTAATGGAAACATTTTAAAGGCTGCTGGCCCTGTGCGCACTCTACATACTAGCATTATCCGCTCCATTAGCCTTAATTGTTTTACTTTTCTATCACTAATAAGAACACTAAATACAAAACAAAGAACTTTGACTTGCATGTTTGTATCAGATAAGGTTGGCATAAAGACTAGAACTTTTTGTTTTTCTCCTGATAATTAAAACTGACTTTTCATCTTTGGAAACCCAATTAGTCATTGTATAGCAAGCATGCATTCTGGCATCAAATGTCAAAATAACAGCTATAGTTGACATACATTCAAAGAGGCAGTTGTTTTAAATCATGTACGTAGTGCCCTATTACATATTAATGTAGCGGGTATGGAAGTACCTGTTATATAGAGACCTTTATGAACTGCTTTAATATTTGCTTTTGAATTAAAGACCAGCTTCAAAATTCTACTATTTGAGACTTGTTTTCATGAGTAGCTAAAGTTGAAAATTACATTCCTTGTAATAATCATTCCCCCAAGAAAAGAAGAGCTCCTAGTAATTCAGTGTTCCTTTCCTCAGTTTCCTCTTGGTGTTCCCACTGCTCATGGCCTTGTGTGCAGTGTACACAAATAAACAGATTTAGGTCTGTTCAGTTCCATTAATTTACTATAAGCCTGAAAGTGCTTTGAGAACATTTTCTTAAGCATAAAAATATTTAACAATAAAATATATTTTCTTAAAATTAATAAAAACTATTTAAGTAAGTTTAATAATCTCTTTAGGCAAATATTTGTTGAAGACTAGATTACAGTGAATAAAAACACTGGCGTTTTATATTAACTTTATAGTTATTTTTTTATCATCCTCTGAAGTCATAATAATGGTCAATTTTGTTATAAACTAAACAAAAAGAAACCACCAAGCTGGCTGAAAAGTGGTAGCGCACTCCATTAATCCCAGCACTCCAGAGGCAGAGACGGGGTCTCTGTGAGTTCGCAGGTTCTCTGTGCAGCCTAGGCTGTCCTGTGTTTCCCAGGAATGGAGATGAGCCAGGCCCCACCACACCTGACCCCTTTTGCATCCTCAGTTCCTTTGGGGTTTGAAATTAGCCTTTCCCATGTTACTGACGTGTTTGCATCATCATTTAACACCATGACAGCAGTCTCTTTAAAAATGTTCACCAGCATATTATTGTAGCATCTAGTTCAGCCTGGCATGCACAGTGCTCTGGGTTCCTCTGTCAGGACCACAAATAACGATGGTGGTGATCACATGGTTTGCTATTGATAGATTAAGAAGTACTTCATAGCCTTTGATTAGATAGATATCTGTGACCAAAGTGATCCTCCTAATACAACCAGACAAAATGTTAGAGTGCTCAGTACTTTTAAAAACTACTGTCTTAGCTGGATGGTTGTGGTGCACACCTTTAATCCCAGCACTCGGGAGGCAGAGGCAGGCAGATCTCTGTGAGTTGAAGGCCAGCCTGTCTACAGAGTGAGTTCCAGGACAGCTAGGGCTATCACACAGTGAAACTCTGTCTCAAAAAGCTT